AGCCAGTTCTCAGCTCAAGCAGCCCGCTGCATCTTTGTCAAATCCCATTTTCAAGGCGCTGCGCCTTTCCACATCATGTTCCGGTTTGCCATCGCCCTCTTCACCGCCGTGGCCAGCTCTCGGCGAACTGGTGAGATCCAACTGACCGTGGAGCCAGAAGAGTGCCAAGCCGTGGATTCCACCAAGGCGTACTTCGATGGCTTGCGGGACAAGTACCAGATCCAGGAGTGTACGAAGAGGGACGTGTGCCTCTTGATGCGGCAGCTGGATGCCTACTTCTACACTCGCGCTCGGCAGGGGAAGCTGGTGACATACGATTCGCCCCCGCAGAGGAGCTGGGTGTACGATGGGCGCTGCGAGAAGAACGCCCGCTCCATCAAGATGGCTCCCATCACCAAGCTTCCTGCCTGCAAAGCCGCGGTCCGTGCCAAGGGCATTCAGAAGGTGAAGGTCGTCAACAGCACCAATCTTCCCACGGGCTGCTCCATCAAGACCCAGAGAACTTCCAAAGCTTACCTCAACCAGTTGGAGACGAAAGTGGAAGCGGGCATGTCCTACGAGCAGGGCAAGCACTGGTCTCAAACCAACAAGAAAGAGATCGTCCAGTATTGCGAGGTGGATCACTCCTTGAGCGAGGCAGCCGCATCCTACTACTCGCCCTACAAGCTGAAGGAGAGCATGAAGGAGACGGGGTTCGTGTTAATAAGCTACTTAATTTAAGTTAATTACTCGACGAAGGAAGCCATTCTATTTACCATAGATTCCGATGATGGTCACTTAAACTAACTTCCTGAACAAGAACCCAGGCGAAGCCGGAGAAGTCGGCAAGCTGTTCCTTCGGCATGATGGCGAACCTGTCGAAGCTTGAATTGACAGCCAGCCCCTGTGCTGAGATTCTGTCTTTCCGGCCCCAGCACACCGCATCCTACGGTGGAGCTGCTGCAGCCCTGAAGGCAGCAGACAAGCTGCAGGCACAGGGCAAGGAGGAAGAGGCGGATGACATCCGCACCGAGGTGCAGAACATTCGCAGCAAGTTCGTTCTGATTCAGCTCATCACAACGGATTGGTGCCCGTCCATTTGGAAGGAGGCCATGTCCGATTACGGACATGGCAGCACGTGCTCCGCCCCACGTTTCCCCAGCTGGGCTCAAAATGACTTCGACCACGATTTCGGAATCGGTGACTGGGCATCCAGAGCGGAGTACCTGGTTCGGGGCATCGGCGGCGAGACGAAGGAGGCACTCATGGAGTCCCGCACGCCAAAGATGGGCCTTGCAGAGGGCACTTGCGAAGGGATCTCGGATGTGGTCTTGGACGATATCCTCGACGATGTGTCGGACGAAACCCCACCCGACTTCTTCGCCAAGGCCACTGTCTAGGCCGGCAGGCCGTGGCCTTGGACTCGTCTGC